GCTACACGGTGGCTTACAGTTCTGGGTTCCCTGAGGAGAGTGTCATGCTGCCCCACATGAAGTCTTACAAAATAAGAGCCCCGTTCTATAGGGCTGGATCCTTAATTTGTATCAAAATCTGATCCGATTGGCCTGTACTTTTTTCTGAGCTCTCTTTTCCTCATCATTTCAGATTCCCTCTGCAAATATATGCAGAATCTTTTTATCTAGCCTGCTCCTGCTCCCCTCCTGCAGAATTTTCTCCAGTGTTAGTAAGATCACAACTCATCTCCATGGAGTGAATGCAAATATACAGCAGTAGGTGTCAAGCCATCTGCTCAGTGGGCTAATATTTTAGAGAACGTAATTCCTTTACACATTCTTTACACTCAGCCTCTTATCTGGCTCATCTCTTGATTTTTTCTCCCCACATTTCAAGTACCCAGGGCCTCTCCTGGAAAATGCAAGATTGTTTCATAACACCTATTATGGAATTTGACAATCCTAGTCAGAGGCGAAAGTAAGCCATTATGGTGTACTGGTAAGAAAGTGGCTGCCGGTCCACAGCTGACTGTACCGGCAGGGCCGCTGATGGGGCGGAAGGGGGAAGGGCAAAAGAGGCAGCTACCTCAGGGCCCAGCGATTTAAAACGGCCTGGGGCTCCCGGCCGTGACTGCCGCTACTGCACCAGTGGCTGGAGCCCCAGGCCCTTTAAATCACCGCTAGAGTCCCAGGCGGCACGGGCCGGGCAGTGCTGAAGGCTGACTAGGGGAGTCTGGCCCCAACCCCACACCTTCTGCCCAAAGCCCCTGCCCTTCCGGGGGGCCCAGAGCCGCCCCCCTCCGCACCTTGCCCAGGACCCCGGCCGCCCTGCGTATAGGTAAGCCAGTTAAGTTACTTTCACCCCGATCCTAGTCCTGTTATCGGTTAGTCATATGCAGATGCTCTGTTAGTATTTGTCCCATTATTCCCCCAAGGACTGAAGTTAAAATTGGACAGGAATTATCAGCGCTCGCGCTCCACCCGCACCTCACTTCATTGAAGATAAGTGACCAATTCAGTTCTTAACCTCATATCCTCCAGTACTTCCGCAGTTCTCTGGATTTTTTTCCCCCCTCCAAAAGTCATCAGGACAATTAGTTCAACACTTAGTCAATGTATTTAACACCCCCGAGTGTTACATCTTGCAGCCATAAACGCAGTAAATTTTCCCCCAAGTATTCTCCAATCTGTTTTTGTTTCAACAGCAACTATAGGGCTATGCTAGTGACTCCACTCCAGAGTTATGATCTTAACAGCTCTTATGGGAATGTTCTATATAATTTAACAGATGAAAAGCTTTCTAATTTTCTATTTTTAAACCCATCTATTGAATTATATAGTAAGAATATCATTCTCTATTAAAGTCTATAGATTTTTAACAAACATTTTGAGCCCTATTTAACTCCTGATGTTTCACCCCTATTGAATTTCATTGGACTTGTCCATAAAGGTAGCTAACAAAGCCCAGATCACTTCCTTCATTACAAGTTCTTCAAAAAGATGCTTTCTATCTGAAATTTCTTGTTCTCTGTTCTTGCATGTTCTCTGGCCATAAGAGAAATTTTCCCACATAAATAGCGTGAAGATAATCAGACAAGGCAGCCTGGAAACATGAGTGATATTGGAGCTTTTTGGTAAGTAACATTTTCTGGATCATTTCACAAACTCTTTCACCTAGAAACTCTTCACTGGTTTCATTCAGTTGTCCTCAATGAGGGCCAGTGCCTTTGAGTGATTTTAGGAAGTGTGGTTGGGTTATTTTAGAGTTAAGTACCACAAAACTAGAATCTTTGGAAACTCAGATTTTTGGTGATCGTTATGAACGGCTTAGACTGCTAATCCTATAGACCTAAGCACTAGTCTCCCCCCCCCCCTTTAAAAAAAAAAAAAAAAAAAGTGCAGCTTATGATTGTACTGCTTTTCATTGCAAAAATAGCCTTGAAATGTAAACCAGTTATTATGAGTAAAAGTCTGTCGAGGCTTTTATTCTTAATAGTCAGTTATTCACAGTCCTATCCTATCCCCCTCCCAGCCACTGGCTGTCAGAGCTCTATCTTACCTGCTGGCATCTTCACATACATATGCTTTCCCCACCAGAACAGGCAGGCTAGTGCTGAATCTCCTCCCTCCCTTCCTACCCCCATGTTTCCCTCATATCCCTGCTCTGCAAGTCAGTGCCTATGCCAGCAACTCTGCTATGAAAAGCTGCTAATGCTCACCATTCCTTGATCCACAGCCCTTCCCCTATGCCCAAGCACCCCATAAGAGTTGTACCTATCTACAATTGTCTGATCACCTTCACAAGGTTTCTATTACTGCTTCAGTTGTCCACAACTCTTTCCCCCTATTTTTCCCCCTAGGAGCCTAATTTCTAAAAGTAATTCAGTATCTCAACCATTTTAGAATCATTGGGTCAGATCCTCAGCTGTCAGACCTATGCCCATGTCCACCAGCTGAGAATTTGGTCTGTTGATTACATCTCCTTCCTTGTTTATTAGTGAGCCTACTTCCTCTCTAGTGTTTTTTCCCCCCGCCATATATTTATAGAAGTCCTCCTTACTCACATCAACCTCATTCCAGCATTAACCCTTTCTGCTTTTTTGCTACCTCATCTTTTTCCTGCAAGCCTTAGCTAACTAACATTTTGGTTTATTTTTCTTCCCCTCTCCTTCATTTCCCAGAGAGGTTCTTTTCTAGTCTTACATCTACAAGTACCCCATAGAGAAATGACACTGGATGCTTCTTGTCTCACTTCCCCACCCCCATCTCATTTCCAGTGAATGGCAGCAGTATGTTGAACTTTAATTGCAGTGACCTAGATTTTCAGACTTGGGCATCTGAAGTTAAATTCCTAAATACATACATTATAGGGCTGTTGATTAATCACAGTTAACTCACACGATTAACTCAAAAAAATTGATTAAAAAAATTATTGCGTTTAATCGCACTGTTAAACAATAGAATACCAATTGAAATTTTTAAATATTTTTGGATGTTTTGTGCATTTTCAAATATATTGATTTCTATTACAACACAGAATGCAAAGTGTACAGTGCTCACTTAATATTTTTATTACAAATATTTGCAATGTAAAAATGATAAAAAATAGTATTTCAGTTCACCTCATACAAGTACTGTAGTGCAATCTCTATCGTGAAAGTGCAACTTACAAATGTAGATTTTTTTTTGTTACATAACTTCACTCAAACAAAACAATGTAAAACTTTAGAGCCTATAAGTCCACTCAGTCCTTCTTCTTTTTCAGCCAAGCGCTAAGACAAAAAGTTTGTTTACATTTACGGGAGATAATGCTGCCTGCTGCTTCTTTACATCACCTGAAAGTGAGAACAGGCGTTCGCATGGCACTTTTGTAACCGGCGTTGCAAGGTATATATGTGCCAGATATGCTAAACATTTGTATGCCCCTTCATGCTTTGGCCACCATTCCAGAGGACATGCTTCCATGCTGATGATGCTCATTAAAAAAAAAAGTGTGTTAATCAAATTTGTGACTGAACTCCTTGGGGGAGAATTGTATGTCTCTTGTTCCGTTTTACCCACATTTCATCTTATAGCAGTCTCAGATGATCACCCAGCTCATGTTTGTTTTAAGAACACTTTCACAGCAGATTTGACAAAATGCAAAGAAGGTACCAATGTGAGCTACAGCATTCGACTCAAGGTTTAAGAATCTGAAGTGCCATCCAAAATCTGAGAGGGACGAGGTGTGGAGCCTGCTTTCAGAAGTCTTAAAAGAGCAACACTCCGATGCGGAAACTACAGAACCCAAACCTCCAAAAAAGAAAAATCAACCTTCTGCTGGTGGCACCTGACTCAGATGAGGAAAATGAACATGCGTCAGTCCACTCTGCTTTAGATTGTTATTGAGCAAAACCTGTCATCAGCATGGACGCATGTCCCCTGGAATGCTGGTTGAAGCATGAAGGGACATATGAACTTTAGCCGCATCTGGCATGTAAATATCTTGTGACAGCAGCTACAACAGTGCCATGTAAACGCCTGTTCTCACTCTCAGGTGACATTGTAAACAAGAAGCTGGCAGCATTATCTCCTGCAAATTGTAACCAAACTTGTTTGTCTGAGCGATTGGCTGAACAAGAAGTAGGACTGAGTGGACTTATAGGCTCTAAAGTTTTATATTTTTTCATTTTTGAATACATAAATCTGCATTTGTAAGTTCAACTTTCAAGAAAAAGAGATTGCACTACAGTACTTGTATTCAGTGAATTGAAAAATACGATTTCTTTTGTTTTTTACTGAGCAAATATTAGTAAACAAATATAAAGTGAGCACTGTACACTTTGTATTCTGTGCTGTAATTAAAATCAATATATTTGAAAATATAGAAAGCATCCAAAAATATTTAAATAAATGGTATTCTATTATTGTCTAACAGCGCAATTGCACTATTAATCGAAATTAATTTTTTTAATCACTTGACAGACCTAATACATTAGGCACCAAAATAGGTGGTTATTGTTTCAATGCTGTTGAGGATTGAAGAGCTCCAAGTGCTAAGCACTGGATTTAAAAGTCTTGCATTAAGCAGCTTAATTTGAAGATTTTTGGATGGTGTGGTTTATGATTCCCTAACTTTCTTCTGTGCTCATAAGAAAGAGCTCACCTGTAGCCTACTTTCCTCAAATTTCATTCCCCTTTGATAAGCCCATGTTTTAATATGCTGAATTCCAGTAGCTCATGATCAGTAGTTTCAGCTGAGTGGAATTTCTCTGCCTTAGTTTACGCTGTCTGCAGATTTATAATCAAATTAAAAACATATGCTTCTTCCGATTTATTTTTAGCCATAATTCACTCTCATGCATGCTCACATTTTACTTTACTAAAAGTATTACCATCCTAGACTTGTGCAGCTAGGATATTTCGCCATTCATAAGTAATGCACACGACAGCGATTTTTTCCACAAAGGTCAGCATCAACTCATCCACATCACCATTACCTTCATTGAAGTTGTCGTCAGTCGAAACATGGGTCAGTGGGGACTGGGGGCGCGAGTCGCCGCACAGGGAGTAGCTGTGTTCTGCCTGGATGAGGGGAGCTGGGGATGCTGGGGACAGCTCCACTTCCATCATCTCATTTTTCTCAGACATGAAGGGGTCATTCAAGAGCTGGCCTAGGACATCCTGCGAAAACTCATCCAGGAACTCCGTGAAGTGCTGGGAAGACAGAGGGTGAAGAACTCTTATTTAACGGGTGTCTCTAGCCAACAACAGAGATGCACTGACCAAAATAATTGCAGTATCTGCACCACGTGTCTGTGCCAGTTAGGAACGGAACCCAGCAGTCCTGCCTCCCAATCCCTGCTTTAACCACTACTCCACGTTGAAGATAGAACAAAAAGGTTCTCATGTATATACGTTAATTTAGCTATGCTGTCTCATCAGCAGCAAACTGTTACAGACAATTACAGTTTTCCTTATTTATGGATTGCTCATGAAGTGAGCCGACCATATACATGGAAACAGATTCTTAGTTAGTGGACGATGGCAGAGATCGTACCGATGTGTACCAGTGAAGGAGCAGGCCCTTTAAAATGCCTAGTTGCTGTGGTGATTGGCTCCCTATAAAAGTCTAAGAAACAGATAAAAGCCCATGTTGCTGAAAGCAGAAAATGAGATCAGTTGCCATGTTCTGAAGCCAACCCCTTTGTTCCCAGGATGCAATTTGGAGTGTGTTGCATTAATGAAAAAGCATATTTCATCCAGTCATGCAGGGAAACATCCTTAAGGATTTATATTCAAAACTCATCCTTCGTATGTATATGTAACCTGTCCCATTGAGCCACAGAGAAAGGATGGAGGGGGAAACCGGTGATCAGATCCATAGTATTTAGTGAACCAAATCAATCTTTAAGCCCAATGTGCCTATTCCAGTGGTGTGGAACATTCTCTTCATCTTACCCTAGCGTAGAGAAAGGATCAAAACCCTGAACTGTGTTTGTTCTGGTACAAACCGCTAGTACATTTGGTTTAAAGAATTACATTGAGGCTGAATAGCTGCATGTTGATTATTTTTGACCGGAGGCTAAAGTTTAGGTTCTCAACTCTGCAGTAATAGGCATTCTGACTCCCAACATTAATAAGTCCTTCCCTGGTGCACTGCAAGGGTTACATTTAAGGTACATGACACTTTTTTGTCTATTATTAGAGATGGGCCTGAATTAAACCTCCTGATCTGATTAATATCCAAACTCTGGGGTAGTTTCAATCAAGAAGCAAATTTTGCAGCGGTTATTATATTTCCTTCGAGGGGCAGGAGGCTTAGTGTGTGTGTTCATATTTAGTAATTGCATTTCAGGAAACAATTCCAGACAGCGGCATGGCACACACACAGTATGATAGTTTCCATTAGTCACACCGCCCCCCCCCAGGGGGTTCTCTTTTCATACTCCAAAAAGTAAGTAGAAGATAGAAATGTAACTTCTTGCAAGCAATCAGGCATCCTGCATTAACAGCTAATATATACAGGAATCTTCAATTAATTGGGTTATAATATCTTGAAAGTGGAAATTAAGTCCCTGGTTTATTTGCTCTGTTTTTGCAGGCAGTGCTGACTTTGGCGCTTATTCTCTCTCCTGCACAAGGAAACACAGATTCAAGATTTGGCTCCCTTGAGCATAAATTAAGAGTTTAACTAGACAGTGATGTGTAGTCAAGTAATGGAAATGGTGCAGCTACACTCACATACCCTCTCATTTTATAGCTGCAGGACAGCTTGCAACCTAAAAGCCTTGTACTGCAAAGTGCTGACTGGTCTTGAATCTCATTAAAGTCACTGGAAATTTGGAGTGCACAGAACCTTCCGGGGGAGCAACTTGCAGGACTGGGTCTTACCTCAGCATTAACAGACTCCTGTCAACTGTACTGGCCACTGGAGACAAGAAAAGGGTTTTATTAGACTAAAGGGTAGTAAAAAAAAAAAAAAAAAAAAAAAAGGAGGAATTAGGTCATTGACTATGCTAGTAATGATGCTGGCTAGTGACAAGGCTGTTAAAAAGGGACAAATACATGCATACTCTTATCTTTAAGTGCCCTGAATGATAACGCTACTAAACAAACTCCAGGGCTAGTACTGGTTGACCCAAAGAGTGTGTCATGACCACTTCAAACCATTGTTTACATGACTTTCTAGAGCCAAGGACTCACTAGTGCATCACTTCCCATGTGCCTCTAAATATTTGCAATAGTAGGTATGCATTGTAATTCTCCACTGTTGGACACGCAGGCTAGAAAAATAGGTCTTTATTTGCCTATCCTATCGCCGTCAAAATCAAAACACCGTTATTGACAGGACAAGGTATTTAACTATTGTCAAACTGTAATCAAGGAGAGAAAGTGCTGCTCGAACAAGTACAAGACACAAGCATGGCCAATCCTACAAGAAGCAGTACTGTTCTAAAGATGGATTTTCCACAGTGCATACTACTCCTCCATGCCCATGGAGCGCATCAGTCATTTGTTTTCAGTTTTATAGGACAGGCTCAGAACATTTCTCTCTCTAAAATACTTGCGTGTGCTTATTGTGATTCTTTAGGGTACGTCTACACTTACCTCCGGGTCCGACGGCAGGCAATCGATGTTCTGGGATCGATTTATCGCGTCTTGTCTAGACGCGATAAATCGATCCCGGAAGTGCTCGCCGTCGACGCCGGTACTCCAGCTCAGCGAGAGGAGTACGCGGCATCGACGGGGGAGCCTTCCTGCCGCGTCTGGACCCGCGGTAAGTTCGGACTAAGGTAGCTGAATTTGCATACCTTAGTCCGAAGTGGGGGGGTAGTGTGGACCAGGCCTTAGTCATGAGGATACAAAACAAGCATCCCAATCACCATCTCCCATTTCTGACCCCATATCATCTGTTAATTATTATTAATTATTATTATTATTATTAAAGAAAATGACTAAAACTTTCCATCCCAAAGGATCCTAAAATGTGATTTGCTACCTTAAACGAATATGCCAGGGATCATTTAATCCAGAGGTTCTCAGCCTTTTTCCTTCTGAGCCCCCCCGGTATAAAAATTCCATGGCCCACCCGTGCCACAACTTTTTTTGGTAGATTAAAAGCCGGCATTCGGGAGTAGCAAGCAGAGCAATTGCCCAGGGCCACACCACAGGGAGCCCTGTGTAAGGGGACTGTTACTGTTACTAAAACTCAGTGAGTGGTTTTTTTTGTTTGGCTTACTCCCCAGTACCAAAAGGAAAGAGGAAGGGTCGATAGGAAATCAGGACCCTGAGACAGACAGTCCCCAGGGCAGGGGTTCTCACAACAAATTTTTTGGTGGCCTCGAAGTGTGGCCGCCAACTCTTGCTGGTGGCTGTGCTGACAATTTTTCCTAAAATACTTAACTTTAGGGGGGAAAAAATATATATATATATTATATATACATACACACACACACACACGCAAATCATTGTAATTTATTGAATCTTTTTGCAGACTCAATAATAAACATCATGTACAGTTGTGTCTTCTTTACAGGACCTAGACAGAATAGAAACACAAATAAGGTGTTCTGCAGGTTCTTGTCTTTTTTGTTGTTGCTTCTTTTCCCCCTTTTTTTTATTATATTATTATTATTATTATTATTATTAAAGACTTGCTAGCTCAAAGGTGGGCAAACTACGGCCCGCGGGACCCTCCTGCCCGGCCCCTGACCTGGCCCGGGAGGCTCGCCTCCGGCCCCTCTGTCACGGAGTATGGGGGGACTCAGGGCCCTGCACCCCCGGCGTCCTGCGATTCACCATG